TCAGGGAAAAAAAAAAGCAACAGTACAGTTCAAAATTGTCTAAATCAGTTGATACAAGAAAGCATAAACAGCTTGCTTGGTCAGAAAAACATAATGAATTTGAATGCAAATTGAAAATGACATACATATGAAGAATATGTTATAAATGGTAAGGTTATGCATACAAAAAGATATTTAAACACAATGAAGCACAAAAAGCTAAAAGAGAAGTTAGAATAAAAAGAATATAAGATTAGATGCATGTTAAGGCTTAAATAACACAATTCTTGCTATACATTCATGGCATATATAAGAAGCATTGTATCAGCCTCTGTCGTGACTAATTCTTTTCATAATTAGATAAGCCAACAATCAGAACTGGAATGAAAATAACTTGTGCTCCTACCACTCTAGTCATTTTCAATTAAGGTCTAGCACCCAATTGCAAAAATGGAATAGCTCTTTCATGTAATGAACTACCATAAGAGACATTAATACACAAAAATGTGCCTAAAATAATTAACAAAGTGAAGACGACATAGGGAGGACGTGGTCAAGGATCTTCCACGGCATATACAAAAACTGATCTCAATCTCAAGTCATTATTACTACTACCACTGACAGACTTTCACAGAAATAGCGATGAAAACAAAAGGGGCAGCATTTTACCAAGTGAGGAAAAAAGGACTAATAATCAACCATTGTTCACTTTTTTTTTTCACCCTATTTAAGATTACATGAACAATAATGCGGACAAAAGAACCAGATAATCTTACCCAGCGCTCACTTTTAAAGCCTAATAAATGATTATTAACCAGATATATTAGATGGTTCTTGATCTCAAAAGACAAAATGGAACATATTAGAACCCAATTAGATTATTTAGCTTTGCGTAAAAAAAGTCACTTACTTTAGGTGAATTTGAATAATTGATTTCAAAATCAGTGGGCAATTTCATCATCGACGAGAATAAAAAAACTCTTACACACGTTGTCCACTTATTATGAAATCTCGTCCATTGATTTTAAAATTAATAGCCCAAATTTATTCAAATTTAGTATTTTTTCCACCACAAAATTAGAAGATCTAATCACATTAGGTGATAGAAAAAAAATAAAAATTCCAAGACCTTATAAACATTGAAGCTCAACTCTCACCAATAAACAAACAAATGATGCGTCGACATGCAATATCTAACTAGCAATGGCCACCATAACTGCACCAGGTCGCAATTGCGGGCCCAATAACCACATAATGCTGCATCCATCCGCGACAACTGCAACATTTAAAACCTTGCTACAATGATACATTTAGTAAATTTAATTACCCAATATAAAACTCGACCTTTAGAATTGAATTCTACGCTGCAAATTGATCTTCAATTGCACCATAGAAAATTTAACACAATCTATTTGTTGGATTTTTTTTGCATTCGGGACTGTAAATGAAAATTTTGTTTGTTAGTTAGGGTAGTTGAATGAGTGCAAAATTATTTAGTTATTTAGGTTAGCTATCTAAAGAAATAAGACGTGTTACCTAATAAGAGGAGGGGTTGAGAGAGGGAGATCTCGTCATTTTGGAAAGGATTGGACTCTTCCCTCTTATTTGGAAAGAAAAAATTTGAGAGGAAAAGAGAGGACAAACTTATTTTAAATAAGCATATTTTAATTTGATAATTTTTAAAAATAAAAATATAAAATGATATATTAGCATAAATTTTGTGTATTATTTATTTATTATTATAAAAAGGATATATAATTTGTTTAATTTTAAAAAAAATTGAAAAACGTTCTCCCCCGTTAGGATGTAGGGAAAGGTCAGTGTCTCTCAAATACATTTGAGTACAGTTGTAATTCAACTCTCTCATTTATCATTAGAGAATAATACATATTTCGTCATTTTTCTTCGTCTAATCATAATATTGCACAGGGAAGTCCTTGACAAACAATCATATGAAGCATGTATGAAAATATTAGCAAGTATCAATCTTCTTCAGGTGTTTTTTGATCCATCTCATCAAATTACAGTATAAGGACTACTAACTTAGCAGGGGTAAGTAGTACATGCAGTACAAGAAGCTCTGAAGTACAAGAGAAGTTCTGCTGAAAATTGTATATATTAACATGCTTGGAATAGCAAAAATATAACGACTTAGAACAATCCAAAACACAGGTACCATCTATGGATGAAGAACAAGGAAGTTATAAATGACAAATTGTTGCAGAAGCGTACTGCATGTCATTAATAATACAAAAAAAATGGAAAGTAAAAATAAGAAAATTGAAGCATCCCTCTATACTATAAGATAGACAAAAATAGCGTGTCCCTTTGAAATAGCAAGAATCTTGCCAAGAGAAAAGAATCCCATGACATCATTCATAAAACAGATATCTGTCATTGGGTGAAAAAGAAAAAGGATTCCAATTATATGATCAAATAATAATGCCATCATGTATATCATATCTTCGTCGAATCATAGTAAAAAATCTGAACCACAGTTCAGAAAACCAAGAAGTTCCTTGAGGAGACATAACTCTTTTGATACTTGTAATTCTATTACCTCCAAAACTGAACGCTGCAGAAAAACAACTAGTTTTAACTAGAATTTAATGAATCAAAATGCCTAATAAGAAATCATAACTAAAGAGTGGATACAAATTCACAAAACATTGAATCCTCTCCTTATAATCATTGTTCATAATTGGCACATGAATTACACGTCATTGCAAAAAAGAAGGCAGGGCTACGGTTATCTTATCATGCATATGATCTTAACAACAAACAGGCAAAATTCTTTGCATGGATCAAATGCATGTAAGATGGAATTACAAGTAATAGACTAATAGTTATCTCATAGCTCTTGAATTTTCGAATTGTGCTAAAAATATTTGTCCAGCAACACCAAAAACAAAGGACCGAGGCCATCAACCTTGTTTTCATAACTTTTTTTAGGGAACCAGTTTAGGTAGAAAATGATAAGGGAACCTGCAACTGCAATCAATTGAAAACATGAATTAATTTTATATCATCCAAAGAAATAGCAAAGTAACATTCGATAATGTATACCAAAAAAGTATGTACATAATTTACCCTCTCATGTGCACCCAAAGTAACACTACAAACCAATAATGTGCATTTATCGTCACAATTCAGTTCAGTAATTTTCTGGCTCTGGAAAATCAAAATTATAGGCTAGAGAAAAACGGAACATATTTTCCAAAATTGCAAATTAATATAAAACGATAGACGAATCTGCAAGTAAGGTCTTCGTGAATTCCAAAGAGGTTAATTCCAATTTATTCAGCTAAGGTCAAGGCCCAAAATTGGGCCCACCAACGAAAGTCTTGGCCAGCACAAATGGTCTTGACCAAAAGTAAAAAATTTACTTCAAGTGGTGAATGCTGAGTATTCTGGATCCATCCAAGTTAGTATAACAGCTAGATGTGTCCTAATTTAGATTTTTAACCTCTCTTCAATGGCCAAAAAAAGTCTCTTCAAAGGTAAATAATAAAAATTAATAATCAATTTTTATTAAAATTTATAGTATTTAATATCATTAATGTATTTTTTTTATAAAATTTATTGTATTTATCATATTTCTTTACACACGTGTTAAAAAAATCAATCATAATTTTAACGAATGATGTTATCGAGAGGTAGTTTTCCTCTTGGGCGTTGGATATTTTAATTACTGAAAAAAAAAAGCTTATTTAAATATTGCTTTTAAGTAACTTTATGGAGTTGTCACGTAGAACAAAACAAAATTGTATATCTTATAAATTAAAGGTTTGAATTTTCACACATCATCTTAAAGTCTTATAGTGAGATAAATAAAAGTATTTATAAATTTATTTTAAACATAAAATATCCTTTATCCTAAATTAAGATGCCATTTTATCTTCTAAAAATTTTTCTGGCCAAAAAAGCATTGCAATTAAGTTCATTTTGACAATTTGAGACTATTTAATTCAATTTTTTTTATTTTCTATTTTAAGTTTTAATTAGAAAAATGTTACATTAATTTTATTTTATTTTCTGTTTTAAAAGATTTATATAGAAAAATAGTAAAAACATAAAAGTATTATTTTAAATTTTTTCTATATAAATCTTTAAGAATAAAAATAAAATGTCAGTTTTATAATTAAATATAAAGATAATAAGAAAATCTAAATCAAATAGCTCATTTTTATTTTATTGAAGTCGAACTTTGATTTTCTATACATTTTGCCGCCAACATTGCTTCTCACATATATGTAATTGACGTTGACAGCAAATGCAGTTTGTCAGAGACAAAATTATTAAGAACTTGTTAAGTGTTTTCTTCTTTAATTGATGGCTAAGGACACCCCTAAGAATATAGTAAAAGAAGAAGGAATTTTTTGATTTCAAGCTTACTGATTCATTCATCTGAAATAGGCTATATAGTCAAATATAAGGAAGTGCAAATTAAATTTGTTACAATCATAGGGTACTACTTGATTGAAAGGGAATAAAATCTAACAGAATGGCAACTCATCAAATATAGCATAATATCTAGTAACTAGTTTATTTTTGCATAGATAGATAATGTGATTCAGCAGTTTGTTGTAATGTTGGGATCTCTAGGTAGTGTAATCCTTGAGATGGGCTGGAGTGGAGGTAATCCTTTTGGGCCTTGAATTAGCCAAGGAGGTGTGGCCTGATTGCTAACAGAACTCATGATTAAGCAAAAGATTAAAGAAAATTAAGCTTTATCAATTAACGGTGAAATTGAAGGTGAAAAAAAAAAGAGCTCATGATTTACATGTATGGTCAACCTCTCCTCATATAAAGTATTGTATATGATGGATATATATAGATGATTAACACGACTCTATAGATAGAAGTAATGACCCGTTAAACTATTTAACTAGATTTAAGCCATCAAAAGTTCCCATTTGATGCATAATTATTGGCATCTTCCCAAGAGAGAGATCCAGGTTGTTCTAGATCAGGCAACTAAGTGAATCGGGCATTAACAATTAATCATAACAAAGTGGAAAATGGGTTGGTTTTCAAAGATCTACACTATTTTAATCGCTTTCCTTGGTAGCATAATTTGTCATGGCTTTGCTCTCTCAATCAGTTTAAACGATGTCGAATGCGTATCAGAGCACGTTCTAGATGAGGGTGACACTATTTCTGGGAATTTTGTAGTTATAGACTACGATATTTTCTGGAGTTCAGACCACCCTGGAATTGATTTCACTGTAAGCTAGCCACATGCCCCCGTTTTCTTACTTTGACAATAATGTGTGAACAAAATAATTAATGCCTCCAAATCCATCCAATCAACTGCATGTATCTTAAAGCACGTTGCAATAATTGTTTATCACATGTATATGTTACGAGGAAGATAACCCGAATTTAATATTCATATAAATTTTTTATGTAAAAACTGTGTGTCCTTAAATTTTAATAAGACCTTAGTTAATTTTATAATTATGAAGAAAGAACCAAACACAAAATTGTCACGTGACATGAGTTTTGATTCACATAAGCTGTGTGTGATTGGTGGTTGAATGAATATTGCATGATTTGTAGGTGACGTCTCCAGGAGGGAATGTGGTGTATTCTTTGAAGGGAACCTCAGGGGAGAAATTTGAGTTAAAAGCAGCACAAAGTGGATTATATACGTTCTGCTTTCACAACCCTGCTTTAATGCCCGAGACTGTGTCTTTCTACATTCACGTTGGCCACATCCCAAATGGACATGACTTAGCTAAAGATGGTTAGTACTAGATTTTAGAGTCTCACCATAATTTAATTAATTTTTCACGATTGGACATTTGTATATAGCACAACATTAAGACTGAAATAAGTTCTGAGTTTAGCCAACTTACTTCATAGGATAAATAATTTTAATATAATATCTTAACTTCATCTAGGACAGAATGATCTACTCTATGAAGTAATTAACTCTATCCAAATATTTAGTTTTAGGAAAAATATTAAGAATATTTTATTAACATTATATAAATCAATTATGATATGTTGATGTTGTTATCGTCATGCTTGGATCTAATATATAGCTTTGCCAATCCATTTATTTACTCTATATTGCTTTTGGGTTCAGAACATTTTGACCCTGTTAATGTGAAGATCGCTGAGCTGAGAGAAGCATTGGAGTCCATTGTAACAGAGCAGAAGTACTTGAAAGCACGTGATGCTAGACATCGATACAGTAAGTAATTAGTCTCACTCGTTTGTCGCTATTAACTTGTCAAGCCCGCAAAGCTCATCTCAAAACTGAATTATTAGTTATTTTTTGGTAAGCACGCCAAGGTGAGAAAATGTTTATAAATATTTTTCTGAAGTCCAATTGTTATGTGTGTTTCATCAACCCATGCATCTTGGTGAACTGTAAATTGGTTTTAATTTGTTTGCTGTATTAAATTTTGCAACTGCAGCAAACGAAAGCACTAGAAAACGTGTTGTCTTCTACACGATCTTGGAGTATATTTTATTTGCTGCTACAAGTTTATTACAAGGAGTATACATTCGTCGCCTCTTCAGCAAATCATTTGCCTACAACCGAGTGTAGGCTTCCTCAGAAATCTGTGGAACTCTCATCTTTTTTTCTTATTGATTGTTTCTCTTACTTTTGTAACTAAACCAAATCTCCACTTGAATGTATTCTGGCCATGTAGCATAATTTAATTAAAATGTTGTTTAACTTATTATTACATTTTGCATAAAACCATCAATATATTTCATATTTTGTGAGATGAAATCACTGTTTTTTTAAGCATCTTTTAATTAATTTATAAGTAAATTAGTAATCGTAGTTATGCAATGGACAAGTCTGTTTCTATTTAATATAAACTAAAACAGTGTAATTAAAGGTGTTACTTTTTAACTAAGAAAATATAATGGAACAGTTATGTTAATTGTTCAGAAATGGTAAGTTGAATTAATGTATGAAACCTTAACGAAAATAGTTTTTGTGGTTCTGTGTTAGCAGTCACATGGTATTGCTATTAGTGATAAAAAAAATTCAGAATTACAACTACAATCGTATATATAATGGCATCATAGATATAGAAATTAACACTAACTTATACCCATTTTCGACAGATATTTATATAGTCTAAAAAACACAAGAAGAAAAATAGTAATTTCTATAGTTTCTTAAAAATTTGAAAGATATTTTATATCCCTCTTACATGAAATAATCATAACTGTCAAATAGATAATAAAGAATAATGATTTATCTTTAAAATTATATAAATATTTTTAATTTTTAAAATATTTAAATAATTATAATGATCTATTAAAAAAATATAAAATATCATTTTAAGCAGTGTAACATGCACATCAAAATTATATCCAAGACAAAAGCAGGTACGGGAAAGATAAGAATAAGGTAAGAGTTGAGGATGGAGGAACCGTAACGTACTCGTCGTCCTCTACCAGCGCAGGTGCTCACTCACATTTTTATACCAGTTTATTTTTTAAAAAATTATACAGTATTATATATATATATTAATTTATTTTAATTTTAAAAAAGTGTATACAGTTGTTCAACCATGCAGTTTTTCTTCCTTCTTACGAATTTTGGCCATTTCATATTAAAGGGTGCAAGTTCTCACACCACTTTCTCTTCCAATAGACACATTTCAGAGTGTGATAAGCGGTGATAATTATATGTTAATAAATGGTATACTTAGAAAAAGGAATATCATGAGAAAAAAAAGTTTAAGAAAAATATGATAATAATTTATTGCTATTTAAATTATTTTTAATAGTTTAAATAACATATTGAAGAAATTGATTAATGTTTAAAAATATAAAAATTGGGATATTTAATTGCGGTGTCCATACGTTACAGGCCTACGAAGCAGCCTACACAAACAAATTACCTTGAATCAGACTCCGCAGAACTTAGCTGTCACAAAATTACCAACGCATGCAAAGGTCAATAAATAATCAACCAATCATCCATATCTTGTTCACTTCTCTTAATACAAAACTACTAAGAATTTTAAAAGACCGTTCTATAGTTCTGTAAATATTTAAATAAATTATGTTATGCAATACAAAATATCTTGTTTCACCAGTATGTTTATTGTTGTTTTAATTTATTTTTTATAAATTTTTTTTATTATTAATAAAGTTACAAGAGGATATTTATTTAATAGAAGTAGTTTGATAATCGAAAACATCATGTAATATAATAAATTAATAAAAAAAAACACCCAAATCAACAGAAGAAATGAAAAACATATACAATGATTCTGGTGTTAGTGGATGCCTCGTTGACCTTTCAAATCCAACGGGTTATACTTACATTTGTTTTGGTGAAAACTTCCCGCACGGATGGGATAGTGTAGAACAAAAGTATTTCAAAATAATTTTAAAGTTACATAAATAAGAAAAAAATATCATATCATAATTTTTATTTTTTATTAAAATAAAAATATTATTGTTATTATAATAATATTTTCTCATATAAGTTATTTTTTTATTCTCATTTGCATTCATTTTAGCAAGTGAATTTTTTTTTTTACTATTTCTTCTCTTATTTCTATTTATTCAAATAATATATCTTTTCTATCTCATTTTTTATATTTTTTTCTCATCCTTTTTTTATTACTTATTTTTTTCTAGTAATTTTCTATTTCATTTAAACATAGTATTAGCTGAGTTAATGTTTATAAATTTAAGCTTTGATGAGCTCGATTGTATAAAATTAATTTTGATAAAAAGTTAAAGAAATTATTATTTATTTAGTATACAAATTTTAATTTAACACAAAATGCTAACTAAGATAATCTAAATGTTAAATTATTATTAACAGAATTACGTTTGAATAAAATAATCGCAATTATGTATGCAGTGTGGAGTTTGTGTGTAATATTTTATTAGAATAAAATGTGACGAGTAAAGAAAGTTTTTCCTTTCACGCGAATGAGTAGTTAAAGTGTTAAACACGGACTGTGTAATGATGTGATGATGGTACAAAAAGGAAAAGGATGTGTATTTGTTGAGCCACTCTTTTTCTCGATGGCTCAGTGTTGGCAAGTTACATTGAATTGACAACTGAGGCTGAGGCTGATTACGCCCTCTCCTCTCTTGGGCAACAAGCACAGAGAAAGAAACAAAAGTAACATTATTATAAATTTTAAAACATACTCATGGAAATTCTAAATAAGCTCTCCTTCTTTTTCTCTTGTTCCCGAACCCAATAATTGTCGTAGGGCCTCCCACTTTTTGTCCCTCGCCACAGTGAGGGAAATTGGAAAACAATTCTGTTTTTTATTTTTTTATCTATGTATTTTTTAATTATGAAATAAAAATATTCAATTATATTTTTAACATCTTAAACTCAAGAGCAATCCTATGTTTGTTTTTCTGATGTTTTTATATCTCAACTTTTGGCTCAGGTGAAATGTAATGGAGTGTTAATATAATATTTTAATTGTTTAATTAGATTGTAAAAGAGAAATAAAATTAAAATTTTGAATAGTTAATTAAATAATATGCTTTTATTTTTTACTTCATTCCTTATTATTTGAGCTGTAATGAAAATATACCATAAACCCGATAACATACACAAGAGAGTAGGTGGCACAGAGAGAGAGAGGATATCTCCACTGCCATTTAGAACGTAGCTATAGGTAGTAGCTACTCTTTGATCTCTGATCCAATAGATAGCTAGCTAGCTAGCTAAGACAACTCCTCATCAATCATCATGCGTCTGCTCTCTCTCTTTTTTAGCTTTCTTAGCTGTGTGCCTTTGAATTTCCTCTTCCTTGACTCTATTGTGCATGTTTGGTCCTTCCTTTAATTCACTGTTACACAAGATGGGTTATATGTCTTTATGAACCCCCTTTACTATCTACTATCTCTCTTCCACCTGTCCCGTTCTTCTCTCTATATATATTGTACTAATCCTAGATTCCTTTCTGTAGTTGTTGCAGCAGTACTCTTGTTCTACTTTGTTTTCCTTTCTGGCCTTAGGTTCAACCCTCCTCGTGATCATTTTCCTCTTTGCTCTTTCTTTCCTAATTTTGAAGTGTTCAAATGGAATCTACTACTCATAGATAAACCAGCATGCACACTCTTTGTTTCTTTTTCCTTTTCAAAGGTTTCCCACTCCTTTTTATTTTCTCTCATCTGTTATCATAGAGTGATACAAGTTAGATAATTGCATCTACTTTCTCTCTTCATTAATAGCATGTTAGAACATTTATCAATATTTATTTCAACCTGATTGTAACTTGTAACGTGTATACCTGCGTACACTAAGTTGTCTTTCCCAGTTAGAATGTGTGGTCACCCCTTTTTCTTCATGGTTTATATTTCTTTTGTGTTCCCAAAGTGGGTTGCAATGTTCCTTTTCATACTTATAGTATTCATACATGCATATGCACCTGCAGAGAGTGGAGTTGTTGCATAACAGAAATTGTAGGGATGAGATGTTCGCAAGGGAAAAAGTGAAGCTGCCAGCATGATCTAGCTTTGGTTAGAGAGCTGAACAGTGCTAACCCCGACTAGGTCATGCTGTGACAGCCTCACTCCTTCCTACTTGGGGACCCAATAGAGTCTTCAGCAGCTGAAAGGCACAAACTTAAAAGCAAAAGGTGAGTGTGTAGCAAAATCACTGTTAGCATCGTATGTTCCTTTTCTCAGATTCTGTTCTGGCAGGCGTGCGTTATTACCTTTTTTCCTTTTGTTTGCTTTTTGTTCTTTGTTTATTTATATTGTTCCTTCTCTTGTCTTTCGCTGTATGGTTTTACCTCGTTGACCGAAATATGAATATGTAAACTCTAGTTTACTCCTTATTTTTGCTTAGTTAGGGCTCCTACAGCGAAAAAGTGCATATGTTATTTTAAGTAAGTAATCGATATTGGACTTTTGTATCAGGTGTCCTTTGTGTTGGCATGCTTGAATGCTTCTGAATCCTATTGATTTTGGATACCTTGATCTAATTTGATTTGCATGTGTCTCATATGTCGGAGTTATGTTTCATTAATATAATTTCTTCTTGTATACATGGTATCTTTCTCAGAGTTTGTCCAAGTGATAGTAACTTATTTATATAGGTTGTTGGACTATATCACGAGATGTAACTGTTACGCCCAATGATATTGTGGCTTGTTGCACTCCTAAAGCTCCTGTTTTCATCATGTTGGAGTTTGTACTGTCAACTAACTATATTTTCATCTTAGTTTCGAGTTCGACTGTTTTTAATTAAAATGTAGAAGGCAAGCTCCGAAGAATAATGATTTTGTGTGTTCAATTTTAGTTTTTGGCTATAGCAATGGTTTGACTTTTGTTTTACAACTAATTCTATACATGTTCAGCAATTTATGTTTGCTTTTTAAGAGTACTTGAAGAATCGATGTTTATATGCTTAATTATATAATGCTCTGCTTGTTATGTTTTTTACGTTATTAAAGCTAGGCGAATTTTATAACATATAAAATTAGATTGAAGTCCACCTGTTGCATATATATGACTTGAGGTAATCATGAATTAAGATCGTAATGCAAGCTATTTTTATGAATACGATTATATACATATTTGAATAACTACGTA